GTTAATCGCATTGCTGTAGCACCGGCTGACCTCCCTCCCTCCCTCTCCCTTTTTTTTTTTTTTTTTTTTTTTTTTTTTTTTTTTTGTTCTTCATCTTCCTTTAAAGTATGTGCCATTCCTGAGCGAGTTTCCCCGCCGGCTCATCCCGGGGCTTCCCGGCTCCGCATGCCCCACCTGTAAGTGGCGGGGGCGAGTTTCTCTCCCCTATCCCTCTCCCCTTCCCCGTCTCTCTTTCCCCCTCCTCTTCTCCCCTCGCCTTTAAAAAAACATTTTTTTAAACTTTCTCCATCTTTCTGTGTCTTCAGCTCGAGCAAAACTCTCTCCCTCCATTCCTTGTGGAGAGGCTCAGCAGCTGGGATTTGCCATCACCAGCCTAAAAATGGTGACCAAACTTTTTCTTTTCCTTCTCCTCTTCCTCCTCCTCTCCCCATTGAAGAAATAAAAAAATAAAATTCAAACCGTGTTTTAATTTAGGTTATGGATGTTTCTGTGTTTCTTTTTGTCTTCCTTTCTCTTCCTCCTCCCTTCCTCCCCTTTCTTTCCTTCCACTTCATTGGCTGGGATGATCTTTCCCTGTTGCTTCTGATGTTTCTTTCTTTTTCTCAGTGTGTGCCTGCCTACCTGGACTAGGGGGAAGATAAGGTAATTTTGAAGGGCTTGAGGAAGTGGCTTACCTGTTCTGAAAACTTTTTTTGCCTTTTTTTTTTTTTTGAGATTTCTTTGTTAAGAGTTGTGAAAATCAGTAATTGAAGAGAGTTTGGTAGCAGCTAGGCAGGTTGAAATTTAAGTGTTATGTTCTGAATGCCTTGGGAATTTGATCTGCTTTATACCAAAGAAGAGCACAGAGAAAAGTATTTATTTATTGGGGGAAAGGCAGGGAGTGGGGAGGGAGGGAAGGAAAGAGGGTTAAGGGAGGGGGAGGGAAGTGGTTTTGGAGACAAGAAGTGAAGCTGCCTGTTTTCCAGTAAGTAATGGAGAAATTCCAGGAGCCAGGGCTAAATATACTTGGCGATCAATACAGAAATGGCTCATTGTGAATAATTTAGCTGCCTGGTGCAGTGAGAGTTTTGAAACTAAAGGCAAAAAAAGAGGCCATGGAGGGAGAGAGGAAATAAAATTTTCCTCTGGTCATGTCAGATTCTTAACTTTTCTACTTAAAAGAACATAGTTATGATTATTGATCTCTCCTTTTTTTTTCTTCTCCCCCCCACAATATATATCAAATGATAGCTAGGGGGTGTCATTCTATACAGTTACTTGGGTTTCGGGAAAGTAATAGCTTGTTCTGTGTCAGCAAAGTGCTTCCAGAAACTTTAAGATTGCTTCACACCACAAAATGCGTGATCTGGGAGTATGAAATGTGATGTTTGGCCCTGTGCTGTGGCAAATAAATAGGGTTAGAGTGAACAGGTGTGTGTACAGGTGTGTGCACACACAGAGGTGTGGGACAAAGCTGGAACAGCTGTGTCCAAGGGGAATGGACACGGGAGGGTTTATTTTGTTTAGACCAGGAGGCAGTGTCTTGCAGTGTGTGTGAAAAGAGCAATTGCTAGTAATATCCATATCCTCAAAGTCTCTTCTGGCTGCAGATAATTGATAAAGCATTACCATCCCAGCTTGAAGAAACAAGAAGAAAGTCAGGAAAAAAACTCTCAGACCAGGCAAAAACGTGAGTGGGGCACAGAGAGAGAGAGGTATGGTCAGACCAGGATGATCCAGGTGCCACCTGGGCAGGGGCAGCTGCAAGTCTGCTCACATAATTTACAGGAAGAGTTCAGTGATTTGCAAACGAGCACATGCAGTGCACTTGTGTGTTTCTCTAGGCAGTGGTTGCAACAGCAATAAAATGGGCAACTACTTAGGGCTTTAAGTAAGTTTAATCATTTAATGGTTGATACTGACAGGCGTCTCTGAGGGTGTACTTTTCTGCCTTGCAGCACTGCACTTTGACTATGGAAGCAGAGGCTGTTGATGGATATATTACATGTAAGTAGTCATTTTGATTATTCTGAATTACTTTAATTTTCCTACTCTCCCTTGCATAATGCAGAAACCTGAAAGTTTAGCTTGCTTGTGTACAGTGTCTGCATTGACACTGAATTAGTAGCATTTAAGTATAAATTCTCTGTATGACTGAGACATGCATGGGGATGGGTGCATGGGTGATTATCTCTAGGTTTAAGTATTTGCTGAGGGTGAATGAACTTTGCAAATTAGAGAGAGTTGTTCTCCAGAAATTCAAACTGCAGCCAAAAACTTTTTATGCCTTTCTCTATGTTTTCTGTGTGGGGTTGTTGTGCTTTGTTCAACAGTCAGTTAACCCAGAGCTTTTGGGGGAAGGTCTGTATGAATTACTATTCATACAGACCCTATGAAGGTCTGGTGAATTACTATTCCAGTCTTCCTTTGCCCAGCCTGGATTGTCTCTGTCTGCTAATGGAAAAGTAATCCTAACTTACTTAAAACCAACAGCTGGGACAAAGTTTGCTGCAGGAGTCTGAGTAATAAATAGGGTGCTGTTCAGACAGTAGCTTTGAGGGGGCTCTTAAAATCAGCCAAATGTTATTTGGGCAACTGAGAGGTGTGAGAGGCTCTGGAAGACCCCGCTGGTGAAGGAGGGAAGGGCAGGGGTGAGGAGAGCGAGCGGGCTGTGGTTCTCGAGTTTTGTGTATCTCTCCCGAAGAAGGGATACAAACTGACAAACTGACGGGACGTGTGTTGTGCTCGCAGGTGACAATGACTATTCGCCTGAGAGGGAGCACTGCGGCATGGCCATCGACCTCACCTCTAGCACTCCCAATGGGCAGCACACCTCCCCCTGTCACATGGCAGGCAGTAAGTCTCCTCTTAAGCCTGGTTCTCTCTAGCTCAGGGTTGGCTTGCCTTGGTCTGGTCCTCCCTTTAGGTCTTAGCCAGTGCTATTGGCATTGCTAACAACAGAGGAGGACAGGGAAAAGTTTCTTTTTGTTTTTTTTTTGTTCTTGTTCGTGCTGGTGTCTCATCTAAACATGAATGGGATTGCTAGTCTGAACTATCCCAAGGTGGCATTTGAGAGCTGGTCCGTACCTGCTCCAGGTAGGAAAACACCAGGGTTGACTTGCGCTACTTTTGTTTCCTCAGGGTCTGAAATCCAAATAGAAATTGTTATTATTATTACTACTGTTACTTTCTTTGCTTCCTGAAACAGCTTGAAGTAGCTTTATTTGAAAACAAACAAATTTTATTTACAAAACTAAAGTTGATTTTAACAAACTGAAAGGAGTTTGGTTTAGAATGTCGGGTAGAAACTGAGAGTTTAGGAAATCTGCACAGAGTGTCAAGAGCTGGTAATATATAGAATTATTCTCCTGTTCTATATGGGAGGTGGATAAATGTAGTTTATGCAATTTCATAAATGCAACAATCTTCATTTTCTGTGTGTGAGTGCCCTACCTTGTTTAAGTGTTGGCTACAGTGTTACAAGATATTTACCTTAATGTAACCTCTGCACTTATAGTCCTGAAAAAATGTAGCGCGCTTTGCTTTCCACATACTTTGTGTTCCTCTCTGTGACACTCATTTTCTTTCAGTTTTCTGTGTACTACAGATACATATTTATCTATTTAAACCCAGGGTTAGTATAATGCCCTACAAGAACCTCTGAAAGAGAGAGAGCTTCTAGGTTTTCTTGATTAAAAATGCACAGCCTTCAGTGTCTTTCTGAGAAAAAGATGTTACTTTCCTTTAAGAATCCTTTCCTCTTGCAAATTACGGGTAAAGCGCAGTTTTATGAGCCTTTAAACTGAGGGTTATTATGAAGATCTCTCAATTATATACATGTTGCTGGAGAATATGATTTCTAATACCATGGACTGAACTTTATATGACAACCACCCATAATTCAGCATCTTTAGACAATTCCAATTGTGCTGCACTGGGATTCTGATATACTTTATTATGTTGTAAAAGTTTTACTACTCACTTTCTTCATTTTCTTTGTTTCCTTTTTATTAATGGGAAGGCTTCATTGGAAGGGAAAAAAGTATCTGTGTTTTAAATCTTCTTTATAATCTAGACTGAAAACCAAAGTCAAATTAGGAATAAAAAGATCTAGAATGAAGTCATGCAAAAGGCTTTAACACACTCAGTATTTTCATGATTATTGTGTTAACATTTTCAATGGTTTTTAAACTTCATTGGTTCTTTGCAACACATATGTATCTGCAGCTTTGGTGGATATCTTATTTTTTTTAAGAGGAGCTTTTTGGCCTATCATAGGTTTCTCAAATGCTTTGAGATTAGGATGTGCTGCTGTTGAAAAATTAAGGGCTCTGCCATGGTTTCCCAAGCTTCTGAAATTTATTGTAATTTATTTACTCTTTGCAGGCTTAGGATTGTTTTGCACAGAGGCAGCTTGTGCTGCCTTAAACATGGAAGATATTGATCAGAGGTTGTGGGATTTTGTGGCAGCTGTTACATTGGCTCATTTAAGGTTTTTGGCCAAATCTTGAATCTGGCATGTGTAGGCTGAATCGCCAGGCTGGGCTTTAGAGCTTTCCACCTGTTTTGTGGGGCACAGGAAATCCTTTTAAAGGTGTGGTAGCTCAGGGGCCTGCACCTCTTTTTAAATACTCTTTTGGGTTTTTTTTGATGTTGTAAAAAGAAGGATAGAGATGGAATAGCTGTTTGAAATATTTTATGTGAATTTAGTAGCTCCCAGTGGACTGACCCATCATCCATTGTTTTAGGTAGAGGCAGTGGCTGTGTTCTGCTTCAGACTGGTTTGATTTCCAGGGGGTTGCTGGAAATTAAGTGATGTTGGCTGATGTTACAGCAAAGCCCAGGGTGGGCCATCCTGGCTGGGTAGGACCTGGGAGTGGAGGAGGTGATATGGGGAGCAGACCCCAAATATTTCACTCCTGGATGGGTTGTCAGTCACTGCCAGAAGCACATGGCCCTCTTTGGCTGTGTGCTCTGGATGTGCACCTGCAAGGTAGAGATCTAAGCTTTGACCTTTGTTCTTCTTGCCTTCCACTGAATTGTTTTGAACCACAGCTCTTAATTTAGTCAGAATTTGTGTCTGGCTCAGGAGGAGAAACACCAAAAGAAGGAAATTTCTTGGATCTGTGCTGAAATGACTGAGTAGTGCTCTCCCAGCAACAGCAAAATTATGTGCTGGGTAAAGAGTTTTCTGTGTTCATTAGCCCTTGGCAATCTGTGTTAGTAGTTCTGTCTGGATTACTGATGTTTTCAGGTTCTATTCCAAAAGGGTTTGGGTCGAATATTTTGGCTGCTGCATCCTTTAACCTATTGTCATTTTCAAGTATCTAGATGGTATTTGTAGGTTATGGACGAGGATGACACTCCATTTTCCTTGTGAATGAGATGATCCTGAAAGATGAATCACACTAAATCACCTGTCATAGCTAACTGATGATCTTACATATACCTGCCTTTAGCAGAGCACTGCATGTGTGTTGGCAGATGCTCTGTTCTAAAATACTTCACTCTAGTTTTATGTAAGCAAAGATTTAAAATACATGTAAATAGTCAAACCGAAGAGGTTGATAGATCATCTCACTGTTCTCTACAGCAAAAGATGAATTAGTGTTACACCTGCTGAGTACAGATGATATATTTACATAGCCCCAAATCTGGAAGTCCAGGTTTTCTTTTGATCTTCTGTAGGAAAACTCTTACAAAGGCTGACAGGCAGAGCTGGGTGTCACAGGCTTGCTCAATTAACTTTGTGTTGGTACTACAGAGTTCCCTGCATGGCCCTAAGCCCCCCCACAGACCCCACAGAGTTCAAGGGAGTCTGTTCTGTTCCTGTCCGTGAGCGCTGAACTGGGCTGGGAGTGATCAGAAACCTCCGAATAGGAGCTGGCATGCTAATTAAAGGCTAATGGGGAATCCTTATAAAAGAGGCTTTAAAAAGAAATAATTCCCAGTCACCTCCCCACAATGCCACATTGAGTTCTTACTCCAGTTATTAGAGACATTTTTAACCTGTAGGTTAAAATGGACTTAGAGGAATGTCTGCTTTAGAAACTGCAGGGGCACAGTTGTTCAATTAGTTGACTCAATCATTGCTTTGTATAGGATGAAGGACACTTCTCTAAGATCACTGGCCTGCTATCATAGGGAAAATAGTAGCAGCAGCTATTAGCATCTGACAGTCAGTGACAAAGGCAATTTCCCCTTAAATTAGAACCTTGACAGTGGGTGTCCCAGTTAACTTTCTTATCTTTGCTTTCATAGACAAAAGGAGCCCTTAAATGAAACAGAGTCAGAACAATCATAAATATCAAACCCAACATCTGATGTTTGAAACCGATTAAAATTGTGGTGTGCTTTCAGGAGGTGTTTATAGTAGCTGGAAGCGTTAGTAAGTTATGAGAATTAATTCATTAAGAGAATAAGCCACGTCGGCTGACTCTGCTGCTGGAAATAATGAGGTGATGGCGTTTTCTCCGTGGTGGGGAACGATTGTGCTGTCTGACGAGATCACTAATTGGGACAGCAGCCCTAAGTGGGGATGATTTCAGCAGTGCTGTTTAAAGAGAGCTCGGGCAAGGTTTCATTATAATGTAGCCAATGCTATTTTACAAGTGATCAGGGTGGACTGTCGGTTGTACTTTTTTTTGTGGCATCAAAGCCCCAAATCTTTCCTGATCACTTTCATTTTTGAAGCCTGAGTTGTCATAAAACTCCTGTTTTGTCCTGAGCAGAGAGTTTCACTTACCACAGCTGTATTGGTGCATCTGTAAGGATAAAGAAATGTAATTCTGGAGCCCGAATTTGGAATTTTCATTCCTGTTGGAATGAAACCGCATAAAGTTAAAAGTTGCTCCATGCCTCAGCTCCGTGGCAAGCAAGCCTTGTCACCACCAGAATTTACTCCCAGGCATGTGAGGCTGAACCTTGCTCTGGGATTCTTTCCTGGCTCAGGATGTGTTGTGGGCTTTTCAGTAGGATGAGGTGATGGAAGCTTTCCTTTAGGGAGGGTGGTTGCAGAGAGGGACTGAATCAGTGCTTTGAGGCAGTCACTCCCCTGATGTGTGCACTGGGGCATGAAGAATTCTGGCAGCCAAACTGCTGTGCTCTGAGCTGGGGATTCAGGTCTCCTTTTCTTCCAAATATCTTGGAAAGTGCTGAAAACTTGGACTTGATCACCTCGAGATGCTGAGGAATGTTCTTTCCTCAGCAGCCTTTAAGGAATACAGTAGGCAGCATTTATTGGTCTGGGTATCTCCTGCCTCAGTGCAGGCAGGTGGACTTTTGACAGTCACTTCAGATGCCCTCTAGTCCTTTGTGTCTGACTTTGCAGCCTTGACACTTTGATTTTTTAGCACTCAGCTGTGGAATTGCACGGTGGTGCCCAATACAGATGTACCTGTGGTTTGGCAGGTTGAAGGACAGTGAAGATGGACTTTGGCAAGATGAGCTCAGACATGAGGGATGAGCTCAATAAAGTGTGGCAGGGAACTATAAGAAGTGAGCTCCTTGGGCACTTACAAGAGCATGGTCTTTGCTTCAGTCTTTTATCCTCAGACTTCCTGGGAATTGCCAGGGCAGTAGTGCTAATCAAAGTTTTAGCCATTTAGCTTTCTTGGAGTTTGAGAAGAAAAAATATTAAATGGAAAGGCAATCATCAGGATTTTAACAGAAATAGAAGGGTTTTCCACACCTAAGAAACCAAAGCTCTGCAAAGTAGTGTTACACTCTGTTTCTTGAAAAAACTACAACTCAAACAGAGAAAAGGGTTAACTGGAAATTAAGCATTTCCTGGGATGTGCATTGAATTGTTATAGCTTTATCCACATCAGCTCAGATTTTTCACACTGACGTGGTTA